CTCCAGTAATATTTGATTCAGGCAAGAATCATCAATGGATGATTAAAAACCAGTGGGTTCAATATTTGATGAGGAAGCAGATAATCACATAGTCTCAAAGTATCTCCCCATAAATTATTTATTCGTTACAAAGAGGAAGATACTGGCTTTACAGTGGAGAAACCTGGCAAACACGGCCTTACCATGGCGAAGAATGAGAACCACACACCACGTGCCCTCAAGGTGACATACTGAGGATGCAATGTGACTACTGTGCTGCTCCTGCCCCAAATGAACTTCCAGAAGGTGGCCAGCTGTCCAAGTGCGCTGCAGCAGCTGTAACAAAATATCTTGGGGCCGGCACTGTGGGGTAGCAGGTAAAGCCACCACCTGCAGTGCCGGCATCCCATATGGACACAGGTTTGAGTCCCGGTTGCTCCACTACGGATCCAGCTCTCTGCTATGGCCTGGGAAAGCAGTGGAGGATGGCCCAAGTCCTTGGGCCCCTGCACCCACATGGGAGACCCGAAAGAAGTTCCTGGCTCCTGGCTTCGGATCAGCGCAACTCCAGCCATTGTGGCCATCTGGGGAGTGAACCACTGGATGGAAGACCTTTCTCTCTCTCTCTGCCTCTCCTCTCTCTATGTAACTCTGACTTTCAAATAAATAAATAAATCTTAAAAAAAAAAAAGAGGGGCCACCGCCATGGCTCACTTGGTTAATCCTCCGCCTGTGATGCCGGCATCCCATATGGGCGCTGGGTTCTAGTCTCGGCTGCTCCTCTTCCAGTCCAGCTCTCTGCTGTGGCCCGGGAGTTCAGTGGAGGATGGCCCAAGTGCTTGGGTCCCTGCACCTGCATGGGAGACCAGGAAGAGGCACCTGGCTCCTGGCTTCGGATCAGCGCAGTTCCGGCCATAGCGGCCATTAGGGGAGTGAACCAACAGAAGGAAGATCTTTCTCTCTGTCTCTCTCTCCCACTGTCTAACTCTGCCTGTCAAAAAAAAAAAAAAAATCTTAGACTGGGCAATTTAGAAGCAACAATTTTTTCCCTCACAGTTCTGGAGGCTGGAAGACCAAGATCCAGGCACGAGCATCTCTGGGTGTCAGCTGAGGACCCGCTGCTGCCAAGGCGGCGCCTCCTTGGTGTGTCCTCACGTGGCCAGAGGGATGGAAAGGTGGAGAATGGAATTAGAGAGCTCCCTTCAACCTCTTTCATGAAGGCACCAATCTCATTCACAAAGCCAAACCCTCCAGACCTATAGCACTTTGCAAAGGCCCGCTTCTTCTTAGATCACCTTGGGGGTTAAGTTCCATCGCGTAGATTCTGGGGAGACACACACGCACATTCTGACTGTAGCCGCAGTAACCAGAAAACACCGATCGAATCCAAACCACGGGATGTTCTGTCAGGCTGCAACTCTTCTGAAATGTCCAGGTTGAGGAACGCCCCAGACAGACCGAAGTGTTCTAGAGTAAGGGAGACTACAGAGGCACTGTGTTTAAATGCCATGTATGATCCCGCTTTGGATCTTGGACTAGAAAAACAAAATTGTTTTCCGAGACGTTATTGGAATAATCGGCAAAGCTTCGATGTGGAATACAGATCACAGTATGGTAGCAATGTTGAATGTCTTGATGTTGATGGGTAATGCGGTGGTAATGCAGAACAAAGCCCACGAATGTCTCTCGGCTTAGGGAATAAGATACTGAAATTGTTAAGAAATACCCTTATGGGTAGAGAGAAAAACCAAGCAAATGTGGCAAAATGTTAACAGTCGGAAAATCTAAGTGAAGTATACAAAGGGTTTTTTTTTTTTTTGACATTTCTTGCTTTGTTATTCCTGTTTTAGACTATTCTAACGTCTCTGTGAGTTTCTAATTACTTCCAAGTAAAAAGCTGAAAACACTCAATTAAAATAAAGAGCTGTGATTTCTACGGTCCGCTGCATTGGGACTCCCTGAAGAGCAGCATAGGACCAGGGAGCTTCACATCAAGCAGGATCTCCCAAGACCCCTGGTTAGAACGCACGCAGTGGCGCATTATCAACACTGCGGCAAGCTATCCCTGTATTTCAGGACCAGGAAAAGGCAACTTTGCATCTATCGCTGTACCTGCTTGTCTTCTCCCATCATTTTCCTTTGAAGCATGATAATGAACTTGCCAGCCATGTTCTTGTTAGTGTCTCTTGGTTGAGTCCCCCAGTATACCCTGATAGCTTTATGTTTGTGCAGAAAAGAGTAGAAATACCACTTCCAATAAGCGTAATTGTCGCTCCCCCTCTTCATGGAGGAACGACACTAAACCCTGCCTAGGCTTCATATCCGAGTCACGGCACCATTATGTCGCTCCCCCTCTTCGTGGAGGAGCAACACTGAACCCTGCGCTGTTCTTTTCGTCTGCTCGGCCCTCCCCGGGTTTGCTGCTGGTTCTTCCCGGGTTGGCTACTATCCCTTCCACCTCCGTGGAAGGGCAGTTCCCCCTGGCCACATTCCCCACTTCCGCAGGGGAGCGGCACACCGCCGGCCGGCTCTCTCGGGGGCTGCACAGGTGTTCCTTCAGCTAGATGTTCCCCTTAGATGTTCCTGGTGCATGCCGTCTCTCTCCTCCTTTATAGTCCTCTTCTGCCAATCCCAACTCGGCTGCTCACACGCCGAGCACGCTGCTCTCCTCCAATCAGGAGCAAGTCCTACAGTTTATTGGTTGAACTGGAGGCAGCTGTGTAGAAGCTGTTTTCTTCTCTCCCAGCGCCATATTGTGGGAGAGCAGGTGCACAGAATAAGTCTCAATTCCAGTAACAGTCTAGTCCGAGCTGCTCCCCACAGTAATGGTAAAGAAATTCCATTTAAAATTATGATAAACCTTTAGCTGTTCATTTTCATTCATTAAAACATAGTTCCTGGTGCCAGCAATGTGGTGTAGCGGGTAAAGCTGCCGCCTGCAGTGCTGGCAACCCATATGGGCACCAATTCGAGTCCTGGCTGCTCTACTTCCAATCCAGCTCTCTGCTATGGCCTGGGAAAGCAGTGGAAGACGGCCCAGGTCCTTGGGTACATTGCCACCGCAGCAATCAAGAAGTATCCACCAGGCCAAAACCTCGTACAGAGGCATCCACCAGGGAAATCACTTACACGTGGTCAACCATTGCTAGTTGTACTGGGAAAAGTAGCACAGACTGGGGAAATAATCTCCAGTTTCGTCATTAAAGAAATTTCCCTGTGGCAGGTGTTTGTCCCAGCAGAGAAAACGCCACCTGGGCTGCTGCTTCCTGCATCCATAGCACAGCGCTGGGTCTCACGCCCGGCTCTGCTGCCAGCTCCAGCTCCACCAGCGCCCGTCCTGAGAGGCAGCAGGTGATGGCTCAAGTAGTTTGGTCCTTGCCAGCCACGTGGGAGACTCGGACTGAGTTTCCCGCTCCCAGCCTCAATCTGGCCCAGGAGTAGCCAGGCCAAGCATTTGGGGAGTGAATCTGCAGAGGGAGCTCTCCGTCTACCTCTCAAATAAATAATTTAAAAAATCATTTTCATCAATGAATATTAAAACCATGAGGTGAAACATTGTTGGAAAGCACAATATGCGGCTGGCGCCGCGGCTCACTAGGCTAATCCTCCGCCTTGTGGCGCCGGCACACCAGGTTCTAGTCCCGGTCGGGGCGCCGGATTCTGTCCTGGTTGCCCCTCTTCCAGGCCAGCTCTCTGCTGTGGCCAGGGAGTGCAGTGGAGGATGGCCCAAGTGCTTGGACCCTGCACCCCATGGGAGACCAGGATAAGTACCTGGCTCCTGCCATCAGATAAGCGCGGTGCGCCGGCCACAGCGTGCCAGCCGCGGCGGCCATTGGAGGGTGAACCAACAGCAAAGGAGGACCTTTCTCTCTGTCTCTCTCTCTCACTGTCCACTCTGCCTGTCAAAAAAAAAAAAAAATGCATGCACTCTCAAGGTGGTTTCCCGTGGATTACTGGTTGATAACCGAGGGGAAAAGAACCTTTACAATGGAGAAGCCTGGCAGACAACTGCTTAACCAAGTGATCATAGTATCAGCAATGGCAGACAAAGTGCCGTCCATTGTGACACGCTAAGAATGCAACATCACCCATGTACCTGTCTTCCCAAAAATGGGTAATCTAAATCTGATTATGAGAAAGCAGGTCAGACAAATCCAAATTGAGGACCTTCTGAAAAATGACCAGTTTGGACTGTCGATGCTATGAAAAGCAAAAAAAAAAAAAAAAAAAAAAAAAAAAAAGGCAAATTCTTCTAGATTAAAGGTGAAGAAGTTAACTAAATGAACCTTGGATCCTGGATCTCCTCTCCAACAAGAAATAATAAAAAAAGAAACATCCATAAAGCTATAAAATTTAAATATGCACTGCATATAACAGTGCTATACTAAATTAAATGCTAATTATCTGAGTGGATTATTGTATCACAGTGGAATGGGAGAATGTCCTTGTTAAGGGACAGATGCTTAAATATTTCGGGGTGAAACATCACGATGTCTGGAAGTAATACCCAAGCATGTTGGACTGAAACTGTACCTAGTGGAGGAATTCTGCATTAATATCTGTTTCAGAGCTGCCTGCAGTGCCGGCATCCGATATGGGCGCTGGTTTGAGACTGGGCTGCCCCAATTCCCATCCAGCTCTCTGCTATGGCCTGGGAAAGCAGTAGAAGATGGCCCAAGTCCTTGGGCCCCTGCACCCACACGGGAGACCCAAAGGAAGCTCCTGGCTCATGGCTTTGGAATGGTGCAGCTCTGGCCGGGTGCGGCCAATTGGGGAGTCAACCAGTGGAAGGAAGACCTCTCTCTCTCTCTCTGCTTCTCCTTCTCTAACTGATTTTCAAATAAATAAATAAATCTTTAAAAGAACAGCGACACCTGGACTCCACCTCTGCCAGAGAGAGACACGCACGCTCTGCACGCTTTACGGAGTCACGTAAAGGCGTGGAAGTGAGGCCACGCCCCCACCCTGGCACATGCCGGCTGATGCACTTTACGGCAGCTCGCACAGGCCAGAGGGCAAGGCCGTATTCCGCGCTCGGGACCGAGGCACGTGCTGTTCGAGGCTCTTCGCAACAATCACATGAAGGCGCGAGGAGTTCCACGTCACTGTGGGCCGGCTCTTCAGCCGTTGGCGTGAACCTGGAGGTTATGGCGAGGCTGGTGTCACTATGGCAGAGGACGAGAGACTACGTGAAGACCAAGGAGTTCCGGGACTACATTACCAGCACGCACTTCTGGGGTCCTGTGGCCAACTGGGGCATTCCGCTGGCTGCCCTTAAAGACATGAAGGCGCCGCCGGACATCATCAGCGGCCGCATGACCACAGCGCTCATCTGCTACTCTCTGGTCTTCATGCGCTTCGCCTACCGTGTACGGCCTCGGAACCTGCTGCTGATGGCGTGTCACGGCACCAACGTGATGATGCAGAGCATTCAGGCGAGCCGCTACCTAGCCTACTACTATGGTGGCGGCTCTACACCTGCCGCCGCCGCGGAGGCCAGCGCACCTGCACCTGCCGCGGACGCCTGCGACCCTGCACCTGCCGCCGCCGCGGACGCCTGCGACCCTCCCCCCATCTCCTGCTAGGGTGGGGAGGGCTGCTAGCCCCAGTTCCAGGTCCTCGAAATGAGGTTCTGAATGGTTGCGAGGGCCTGATCAAATTTTTACAGCCTGCAAGCGCTGGGCTGTTAGTCCTCCCGAAGAAAGATCAATGAGGACTTTGGATTCGCAGTGTAAATCGGATTAAAACCTGCAGCTTGATTAATGAAAATGTTTTCCAGCTGTTAAGTGTTTATTTCATAAACGGAATAAAATGGTTTTTTGAGGGTGAGGGTAGGTTGGCTAGGCTTCTCTGCAGACTTTGCAACTTGAGGGTTCGTTTATATGGGAGAGGAAGACTTGGTGTAAACAAAAAGTCCATCATGTTATCTACCAAGTCACCACTTTTCTGTTGAAGCTTTTTTGGCAACATCACCCCCCCCCCCTTGTTTTGGGTGTCCAGAGCAAGTAAGGGCGCTTAGTATCATAGGTGGCTTTTAAAACTAGTTATGGTTACAAAGCTACACCAAAAAAGGCCTCAGGGCTATCTATATATGCTCTGGGAAATGTTTGCAAGTAGGTCTAAATGCAGTGAAATACAGCTTAGACTTAAAAAAAATTTTTTTTAATTATTTGAAAGGCAAAGAGATAAAGAGGTCACCCATTCAGTGGTTCACTTCCCAACTGCCCACAACAACTGGCGCTGGGCCAGGCTGACGCGAGGAGCTGGACACATGGGTAGCAGGGACCCAAGTACTCGAGCTATCATCTGCTTCTTCCTAGGGCACACGCACAGCAGCAGGAGACTGGAATGGGGAGGGGTGAGGGGACTCCAACCCAGGCGCTGCAGTATGGCATGTGGCTGTTTTAACCACTGGGAAAAACCCTGGCCCCCAGTTTAAACTCTTTAGGGAACCTAGAATCTTGTGATGACCCAGAGCAGTTAAAGAATCTGCCATGGAGATGGCAGATGAGAATGGTTGGGTGCTGTCACCCTTGGGCTCTATGTAAATAGAAGAGTAAAAATGACAACTTGGAATTGTTTTCCACCTCCCTAAAGGGAAATGGCTGTGTGTACAACTGGTTGACCTATCACCCTGTGCTGGATGCAGACTAGGGGTGGCAGCAGGCGAGGGTCAGTGGTCAATAGCAGGGGCCTGGGGTGTTCCCCTGGGAATCCTCTTAAACTGGGGCACTTGAGAAGAGGGGAGAGAGAAATGCTGAGCTGGGGGGTGAGGCCGTTCGCTCTGGAGCAGAGGCTGGCCTCTAGGGTTTGAGCCGACGTGTCCCCCTGCCCTGGCCTCCGGAGACTGCAGGAAGTTGCAGAGTGAGTGGGGTGGTGGTGGGGGGACTCTGATGTATTTACAAGGGCTTGGAGTCTGCTTCGGTTAAAGCTTTTCAAATGCAAACGAACTGAATGCAACTATGGGGAAGGCTCTGAAGATGAGACTGGCACAACGTTAGGGTAGCAGAGCTCTGGAAGGCCGTCCTTTACCCTGCGAGGCATCCAAACAGAAGTCCTCTTTCCAGGCAGCCTCAGCTCCACATTCTGCAAGCAGGGCAGTGAAAGCAAGCCCGGGACGGGAGAGTTGTGTTAGTCAACCACTGCTGTGTAACAGATCATCCCCCAAGCTGAGCTTCAAACAATGCATGTTTTCTCCCGCTTTCTGAGGGTCTGGAATGCGGCGGTGACTTACCTGGGCGCCTCCGGGCTCCTGGACTCTCACCCATCAGCTGGAACCGCAGGCTCAGACTTGACGGGGTCCCGAAGATCCACCTCCAACCTCATTCAATACAGCTGTCTGCAGGAGGCTTGTGGGCCTCCATCACAGGGCGGCTCATGACAGCACGCGGCTTCTCCCAGAGCAGTGTTCCAAGAGAGAGCCCAGTGTGCAAGTCCTGGTCACTTACTTATTTATTTGAAAGGCAGAGACAAGGAGAGATCTTCCATCTGCTGGTTCACTTCCCAAATGTCCCCAACAGCCAGGGCTGGGCCAAGCTGAAGCCAGGAATCCAAACTCCATGCGGTGGCAGGGGCCTCATGTACTTGAGTTATCATCCGCCGCCTCCCAGGGTGTGCTTTTGCAGGAAGCTGGATGGGAAGCAGAGCTGCGCACTCAGTCCCATCCAGTGTGCCATGGGATGCAGGCATCCCAAATAGCATCTTGATCACTGGGCCAAACACTCGCACCAGTCCTGGTCTTTTATAGCTTAATGTTGGAGGTGACATGACCATCATTTCTGCTATTTTATTTTTTTTTTATTTGACAGGTAGAGTTATAGACAGTGAGAGAGAAAGACAGAGAGAAAGGTCTTCCTTTTCCGTTGGTTCACCCCCCAATGGCTGCTGCGGCCGGCGCACCGCGCTGATCCGAAGCCAGGAGCCAGGTGCTTCCTCCTGGTCTCCCATGCGGGTACAGGGCCCAAGCACTTGGGCCATCCTCCACTGCACTCCCGGGCCACAGCAGGGAGCTGGAATGGAAGAGGGGCAACCAGGACTAGAACCCAGCACCCATATGGGATGCTGGTGCTGCAGGCAGAGGATTAACCAAGTGAGCCACGGCAGCGGCCCCGATTTCTGCTATTTTTTCACAGACTAACCCTGGTACACTGTGGGAAGACAAGACGGGGTGGAGACACCAGGAGGCAGGGGCCATTAAGGGTCATCTTGGAGGCTGGTTATCACACGTGGTTCTGAGCCAAGAATTCTAGTGCTTTCCTCATACTTGGTAGAAAGTACTAAAGCACTAAGGTCATTGCCTACTTTCCCCAAAAGACGAGACAAAGTGCTCAGTTTACAGTCGAGTGGTCACTGCTAATGTGCATACAAGGATACCTCAAAAAGTTCATGGCAAAATGGAATTAAAACTTTATTTTGGTGCAAAACATTTTTGAAATCCATGCAGTTTTTTCATAATACACATTCTTCATGAGCTTTCTGAAGATCCCTCACGTGGATGGATTTCAAAAATATTTTTGCACCAATAATAAACTTATCTTTTCATTTCACCTTCCATGAACTTTTTGAAGCACTCTCCACATTTCATAGAGCAGGGGTTGGAGAAGTCTCTGGAAGAAAACAATAGCTCTTAATATTTTAGATAATTCAGATTACAATGTAGTAATAAAAAGCAGTTCTTCAAGTTATGAAATGAATCATATTAAGATTTTTATTAAAACATTAAGGGACATTTTTTACTTCACTATTACATGAGTAGAAATTAATATATTTCAGGCTTATCTTGCAAAATGTATTTTGTAATTTGAGTGTATTTTAATAAGCGGCCACCGTCTGTTGAAGACATTTTGGAGCAGGTAGGTTTCTAATTAACCTGGTAAGGGGAAAAGGAGGTAATCTCCTCTGATAATTTCCTCTCATTCTACTTTTACAATTTAAAAGTCAAAACGATCAGGGGAAATATTCGAAAGATTGCAACTTCTCCACCCTAACGCAAAGCTCCACTTAGCCCATCTAATTCACAATATGCCCACTCAAGCAGGAGAGCTAACTCTTTCTTGCCTAGGATATTCATGTTTAAAGCCCTGTAAGTAATTAACACTTTAATAAAAATGAACCTTGCAAATCATTCGGGTACCAATCACTCCGTAATCTCCCCAAACTCTCAAACAGAATCCTTTCTGACGTTGGTAATTTAATTTAAACCGTCTACAGCATTTTCTGAATTCGCAGAGCTAGCGTTCCAGAAGCTTTTGCCGCCCTTGTCCCCACACTACTCATTTCCCAGAATTCAAGTGTTTTGCCTCCAGTTTAATAGGTGACATCTGCCTGCTCAGGTTCTCTGAGCTGCCTGGTAAAGAACAGGCCAAATCCAAAGCACTGTTTTATCCGTGCAACTCAAAGGCTAAAACCATTGTTCTCTAACTCCTTCAGCGCTGTGAGCCAGAGTGTGGCCTAGGGAGAGATCAGGGGCAAGATCGCGTTGCGGGATGAAGACAAGGCACACCATGATGAAACAAAGGCAGCTCCGCGTGCAAAGGAGCTCCCGGACTGGGCCCTGTCACCTGCCGCTTCCGCTTTGCCAGGACCCCTGGAGGTGGAGTTACAGAGCGCAGGCCCCAGTGCGATCCAGGCAATGTGACACAGATACCTGGCACTTTCAATTTCTATAATTCACATCTGTTTATTATTTGAAATTAAAAATTTTCATTAAAAACTTTCAAAATGTCTGAGTGCATACTGGAAAAAAAAATCAACATGGGAATAAACAAAATAGAAGAGCCCTTCTGCCCCCAGTTCCTTTTACAGAGGCAACACAGTAAGCTTGGGAAAAGCACACAAGTTTCCGGGCCACAGCTGTCATAAAATACGAACAGCAGCGTCGCCGCCCAGCATCATCAAACACTGGCTTCCGGTTTCACAAATCATGGCGCTCGCTCTTCCACAGTGCCGCAGGCAGCGCCCCTCCTTCGTTCTAACAGTCGCGGAGGAGGCTGCTTCAAGCAGCCCCTCTCGGCAATGGGCCCGCTCGCTCGCGGAGCCCTCTTGGTTGGGCACGTCTTCCTTTCTCTGTTTCAATGTCATTCAATGCTGCCAGTACAGGGTTTTCTGCAAAGTGTCTTTAATGACCAGAGCAGACCGATTCCGCAGGATGATCTTGACACACATCATCCACACCTTCCAAATCCTTGTATTGGCAGCAACGCGAGTGTCTGGCACGTGGCTGACATGTGACAAAGGCTTGCTGTGTAGATAAGGAAAAGCTAACTAGATACAGGTATAAAGTGGCAGAGTTCATAACCCAAAGTTCCCGAAGTTAGAAAGCATGTCTTAAATTAGTTAATCAAGATTCCAGCTGACTCAAAGTTTTGTATCTCATATCTAGAAGCTAGGAAATATTTCATAGTTTGAGAGAGCTACAAGATGAACGAAAATTCTTCTTGTTTCCTACTCAAGTCTTCTCAAGGATCTCCATGACAAGCAGAGACACACGACTAAAGGCCAAGTGATACTGGGAAGATTAAAGCCGGAAGTTACAATCACAGTTGCATTCATCTGGGTTTTATGGTTATATTAAATATATCTCATTTTTCTGAAAGGCAGAGAGAAAGAGACAGAGAGGTCTTCCACCCACCAGTTCACTCTTGAGACGCCTGCAAGAGCCAGGGCTGGGCCAGGCCAAAGCCAGGAGCTCCATCCAGGTCTGTCACGTGGGTGGCAGGGGCCCAAACACTTGAGCCTCTGCCTGCTGCCTCCCAGGGTGCGCATTAGCAGGGAGCTGGGACGCAGAGCAGGGCCAGGACTTGAACACAGGTATGGGATGCAGGTGTCCCAAGGGGCACATCAACCTCCGCACCAAACATCTGCCCCCAAATGCACTGTAACGTAAAAACAGGTGTGGCACATCCCCCTGCCTGCTACAGGTTATATCCTTAGTGGGCAGCCGAGTAGGCGAAGGAGTACACCCATCTGCACTCGGTGTGGGAGGCAGCAGGAAACATGGCGGTTGTGGCCCTGAAGGGTGCAGGGACGTTTCTTTGGCTTTGGAAAGAAGCAGATGCAGGGGGAGGTCAAAGGGAGGCCTGCCTCGGAGGCCACGCATGGTTCAGGAAACACACAGGCCCCAGGCAGGAGCGGATGGCTTTTTTGGGTAAAAGGAACAGAAGAAGTATGAATACGTTTGTTGACAGAAAACGATGTCTCTGAAGTTCCATGAGAATTCTGAAGTTGGATTCTTACATTTCCCAGGGAGGGAGCAGGCTTCGGAGTGTAACTAACATCCAGGCCTAGGGGCACTCCTGAGCCGGCAGGTGACCCCACCACCGTCAAACCCATGTCCATGGGCGGCGTGGGCCAGGGCCAGGCCCTGTGCTCTGCCCTGGGGATGTGTGAAGGCACAGGATGAGGAGCTCACTCGGCAGAAGTGTGTCACCCACGAGCTGCCAGCCGAGCAGCTTTGCCCCGACAGCCCTCCCCCTTGCTGGCCCAGGCTGCCCCCAGCTACTCCAACCTGGTAGTAGCAGTTCTGTACTAAAGGGGCGGGGCTAGCACATGACCTTTCAGCCCACCGTCCTTCTCACCTTCGTCCAAAAAGCGTGGATGTTGAGCTCAGCGTGGACAGCACAGCCCGGGGGGAGACTTCAGGCAGCAGCGGGGGCAGGACACAGGGCTCTGTGGGAGCCCCTGGACAGGCCTGGCCAAATACAGCCTTTGCTAGGCTAAGCAGCTGGAGTTTGGGACCAGAAAAGAATGTCACTTTCTAAGTAGCCACAGATCCCTGAATGGTAACAACTTTTGGCACAAGAGTATCTAGTATTTTTGATTGGTCTAGATTACACAACCCCAAGGTTCTGCATATACATATTAAAAATAAAAAATACTCCCAAAGAGTCAAAGGAAAGTCCATGGGGGAAAAAAAAAAAAACAGCAACAAAAGTCCCTTTTTGTCTGGGTAGCGTACTCTGAGACGGAAGCCACGCTGACTTTCACAGAACGCGCCTGACTTTCGTCGAAGGGCAACCTAAAATGAAAGAGAATGTTTTCATTTTCTTCCTCTGCGGGAAAGAAGAGGAAACAGTGAAGACTGGTTGCTGACTTTAGCAAGCTTTCCGCCGCATGGGAACGCAGGCGGTGCTACCCATGCCGGGGTGGGGGGGAGGGGGGGCGGGGCGGGCATTACTGCTATCGCTTTAGGGTGGGAACGCGTGTTGGTTATGGCATCAGGGTGACTGACACTCGACCGTGACTTCGGGTGTCACTGGCTAAGCAAAGCTGCCAGACGGCTGGCGTGGAATTGCCGCACAGCTGTGAGAACCAGGAATCAGAGCACAAAGCTCAGCATCACGTGGGGGACCTTCGCGTTAGACAGCTGTGTGTGCACTGCAGCCTCCCACGAGAGCACCGCCAGCCAGAGGGAAGAGGCTCTTCTGTCCTGAGTTCACCCACCTTCGGCCGTCCCCGCAGGCGTCTCTCTCCCAGGCTCCTCTGGGTCTGGCTGTGGGTGCTGCAGACAGAGGCTGTCTAGCTTCCGCATGTCTTCTGTAAGGCCATTTCTAAGATCCTCGTTGTTTCTCAGAAATTCCCTCATCCCTTCCAGTCGATGTGAGATCTGCAAGAGGGAACCGAACAATGGACAGCTGAGATCATGTTGTAACAGACCCTTGTGATCCAAATGAAAACTTTAACACGCTTCAAGCCTGGATTCTGAATAAGTATCCACCAAGCGACAGAAATCTTGGCTACACGCATTTGGCCAGACAGGCTAAGCTTCAAAACACAAACAAAGAAAACTAAAGCAAGCCTTTTTTTTTTTTTTTTTTTTTTTTTTTTGACAGGCAGAGTTAGACAGTGAAAGAGAGAGACAGAGAGAAAGGTCTTCCTTCCATTGGTTCACCCCCCCAAATGGCCGCCACAGCCGGTGCACTGTGCCCATCTGAAGCCAGGAGCCAGGTGCTTCTCCTGGTCTCCCATGGGGTGCAGGGCCCAAGCACTTGGGCCATCCTCCACTGCCCTCCCGGGCCACAGCAGAGAGCTGGCCTGGAAAAGGAGCAACCAGGACAGAATCCGGCGCCCCGACCGGGACTAGAACCCAGGGTGCTGGCGCCACAGGTGGAGGATTAGCCGAGTGAGCCACGGCACTGGCCGCAAAGCAAGCCTTTAAAACAAAGCATCCCCCACTCAAAAACCTGACCTAGGATAGCTGGTTTGGGGAACGCCTAGAGGTGTTGGCTTGTATCCTCATATGTGTTTTGCCAAAAACTTCTTGCGTTTGTGTAAAATGGCTTCGTTGCACACACACACTCACTTGTGTGCGTACAGAAATAGAATGAAGCCCTTTCATTTTAAACTTTGGACTCGTATATCACTGGGAAACACACATACAAAGGTTTGTTATATATGTAAGTCTGCTTAAGACTCTGGATATTTAATAGCAAATTCACAATCAAGGAAAGGGCACAAGGTAAAAAGTCGAGTCTCTTCCAAATCCTTCCCTGGTCATTAGTTCCTCTTCCTACAGGTGATGCTTCTTATCTCTTCCAGAACTGTTCTAGGCATTCATGTCAGCACATCTTTAAAAACACAAAGACAAGTCTACTAGACACTGGTTTTGAGCCAGTCTCTCCCATATGAGATTACAGAGTAGTCTTGTTACCTTTTGCAAATGGCTGAACAGCATTGCAAGGATGGATGTCTCTCTCATGTTTTACCATAGTTTGGAACTTGTGTTCAGACAAATCATGTTGCAGTAACTAACCTGGTGTGTGTCACTTTGCCTCAGTGAGAAGCTGATTTGTAGGCCTCGGTTTTAGAAATGAAATCCATTTTTAATTTGGTTCAATTATTCTAGGCTTATCTATTTGTCTGAAAAGTAGAACAACACATAGAGGTCCTCCATCTGGTGGTTCAAACTCTCCATGTAACAGTGAGAGCTGGATCAGGCCGAAGCTAGGAGCCGGGAACTCCATCAGGATCTCTCACATGGCTGGCAGGGACACAAGCACTTGGGCCATTATTTGTCACCTTCCCAGGTGCATTAGCAGGAAGCTCAATCAGAAGCAGAGTATCCGGGACTCAAACCAGGCACTCCAATAGGCAGCCATCCTAAGTGGTGGCTTCAATTGCTGTGCCCAAATGCCCACCTCATTTTGATTTTTAATAGACTTTGCCAAAACTACCATCTGCAGAGGTGGTATCCATTTAAAGTCCTACCAGCAATGTACTTGTCAACATTTAAGCTACCCTACGTACTCACAGAATGGAACGCTGGATGTATGTGTTTTCATTGTGCTGAGAGGAAGCCCTCATTGGTACTGTTTATTACAGAGATGAGAAGTAGTTATATTTTTGGGTGGGCTGAAGGATTTTTAACTGGGGGACTTGCAATTCCATGCGATGTCAAGATTTTTTGAGTCTAATGAAGAAAAGTGAGGTGCCTGCCACATTGGCAGAGCAGCTGTGACACGTTAGCACATGTTCAGAACTGGTTCTGATGCAGTAGAAGCAGGGCAGAACCTGGGCAAACTCTCGGGTTATTGCGACCTAAGTGAAGCCACCAGCCGCATGCCGGTGCCGGCTGCCAGGGAGGGAACGGAGGTGTAGTCCAGCTAAGGCTGCAGCCACGATGATTAGGGAGCAGGCAGGGACCCAGGGCTGGGGGGACTGAAGATGACCGGCGACCTTCAGATGAAAGAGTAAGTACCCTAGGCTATGTATACACGGCCAGAAACCAGCCCACGGTTCCTGCAAGATGCCTAGGCTTGAACTTGTAAATCTGGGCACCAAAAGTCCATGAGAGGAAGTTGACACCACTGACATTATTTGCAGCATGCATTAATAGCTGGGGACACTGCATGGTGGTTTTTTTTTTTTTTTTAAAGATTTGTTTTTTTTTTTTTATTATTTGAAAAGCAGAGTTAGAGAGAGAGAGAGATCTTCCATCTGCTGATTCACTCCCCAAGTGGCTACAAAAGCTGGAGCCGGGCCAGGCTGAAGCCAGGAGCTCCATCTGGGTCTGCCATGTGGGTACAGGGACCCAAGCACTTGGGCCATTCTCTGCTGCTTTCCCAGGCCATTAGCAGGGAGCCGGATGGGAGGTGGAGCAGCCGGGACTTGAACCGCACTGCACACATGGCCCTGGCTGGCTGCTGGCCCTCAGTGGGGCCCGCCTCCTTATGACGGGGATCTGTGACCCTCGTGTTACTCCACCCTGACCCTCCCCACGGAGCCTCACTCTCAGTGTTTTCGCCTTTGTTCAAGTTTTCTGTAGAAATTTCTGCCCTTCCTCTGCTGCCTGCTCTAGTTCTCACCTCCATTCCGAATCCCGTCTCTCTCTCTCTCTCTCTCTCTGTCTCTCTCTCTCTCGATCTCCACCCCCCAACCCCCCCACCCCCACCTCCAATAGGAGTGCCTCCTAACTGACATTTCCTGGAACCTCAGTTTTCCCCTTTGCAGGAAGCAATAAGTGCATTTGCACTTGAAATGTGCTTAAGACGTGTTTGTGGCTGGGGAGATTATTTTAGCTTACATGAGAGGCAGAGTCAAAAGGTGGCTTTTGAAAAATTATTCAGAACGGGGAAGGCTTGTACACGTTTATACATAAAGGGAAAAGAGGAAGTCGAGACAGAAAACCTGAAAGTGCAACCAGAAAAACGACAGGACATGACCACGCAGACTTGGACACTGCAGCCTGGCTTTGTCCCGCAGCCAGCTGTGTGCCTTTGGGCGAGATGGCTTGACCTCTCCAAGGTCACGACTATGAATGTGAATTAAGGATGATGACGCCAACACCATCCATGAGGAGTAGAAATAATTTACTAAGAGCACTTAGCATCGCGTCTGGTACCTTCCTTCCTTCCTACATCCATTTAATAAATGTTTAATTTATTCCGAGTCACTCTGCTACATGCCAGCCTATTGCTCTAGGCCAGAGACACTGAGCAATCTCACTCTGCCAGGTACGTAAGGAGAAGGCCTGCAGCTCCCTCAAGACAGAACGGCTGATGGCCCAGGGGCAATGGGTCTGGTCCTCCACTTGGCTTCTCTTGCTGTACTCTGCTTCTGAAAGCATCAGCAGGAAGAAAACTAGGACTGTTTTTTTTATACTTATTTATTTATTATTTGAAAGGCAAAGTTACACAGAGAGAGAAGGAGAGGCAGAGAGAGAGAGGCAGAGAGAGAAAGAGAGAGAGGTCTTCCATCTGCTGGTTCACTCCTCAACTGGCCTCAATGGCTGGAGCTGCGCTGATCCGAAGCCAGGAGCCAGGAGCCTCTTTCGGGGCCTAAGGACTTGGGCCATCCTCTACCGCTTTCCCAGGCCATAGCAGAGAGCTGGATCGGAAGTGGAGCAGCTGGGTCTCGAACCGGCACCCATACAGGATGCTGGCACTGCAGGGAGTAGCATAACCTGCTATGCCACAGCACCGGCCCCAAGGACTGGTTTAATAGCATTTTAAAAGAAAGCCAGGTGAAACTCATGGATTTATAAAAGATGATCTGGAGCCTGTGTCCAGTGTAGCAGGTTAAGCCCTGCTTCCAACTTCCACGTCCCATATGGGTGCTGCTTCAAGTTCTGGCTCCTCTGCTTCCAATCCAGCTCCCTGCTGGTGCACCTGGGAAAGCAGCGGAGGATGGCCCAAGTGCTTGGACCTCCGCACCCACATGGGAGATTCAGGTGGACTTCCGGGCTCCCGCCTTCTGCTGGCCCAGCCCTAGCTGTTGCTGCCATCTGAGGAGTGCATTAGTGGGTGAAAGATCTCTTTCTCTTTCACTGTTTCTCATTCTGCCTTTCAAATGAATACAATCAATCTTTTTAAAGAGAAGATCTAAAATTCTAGTTGATCATTTTTCGATACCTTTGGTGCGCCATGGTGGGCACACAGACAGCAGTGGGATCCAGTCCTTTCTGGGAAAGAGCTCACCTAGCTAAATAAAGCATCTGGATCGCTGTGAGAACGGCTGATACAGGCACATTCACCAGTGACAAGCAGGGCGTAACGAATGAATGACTCCCATTGTGTTTCACACGCTAACCTCCACGACTACCTTCCTAAGACCAGAAGGCATGCAGAGGTGAATGATTTGTCCCCAACTTCCTGTGAGCTAGACTGCTAATCCAGTCTGTGTTGGGACATTTCTAAGCCTTACTACAATACAATTTTACTAATGTTTGTTTCTTTTATACCTTGCTCACCAAAAAGGGGATTCATGCCTCCTGCACTCCTAGTCAGATCTGAGACTGTCACCAGCCTTCAGGTCATAAGCTAGAAACCCTGGTGACCCTTTAACAACCCCGCCCCGACTTTTCCAGCCCCATGCTATCCCCAAGTCAGCCACCTAGCCACGAAGATCCACCAGCTCTGCCCAAGCTAGGCCTCCAGAATCCAGCTCACACCACAACCTCTAGTTTCTGTCCTCTTCCTTTCACCCTCACTCGTCACCTTGTGGCTAGTTTCTGGCCACTTGTTCAACATTTAACTGGGTACAAGAGTTGACTTGCTAAAAGCCAGCTCTCACCTTATCACTAGGACTTAAAAACACCTGTTGGCTCCCTACTGCTTTTTTGGAATAAGGCTCAAAACCCTTGGCACGGCAGAGGAAAACCTTTCAAAACATGGCTTCACCTGACTTTGCAACCCTGCTGGCTGAAGCCATCTCCTTTGCTCAGCTGGTCATTGCCCAGGCCGCAACTATTTTTGGAAGCCCTCACAAGGGCTCTTCTGCCTGCCAAGAATGCCCTTCTTCCCTTGCCAATTTGCCCCAACCTTGATTCTGCGAGGTCCAGCCCAACAACACCTTTCCTGGCAATCCTCCCTGGCCAGCAGAGAACTCTCAGGACGTAGTTCTCAGAGTTCTGCTGCTGGCCCAGACAAGTCATTCCACTCTGCGGCAGACTGGGCTCTCGAATGCTTGCTGGTTCCCTGAGAATATTTGTAAAAAGGTACTAGTCATCTGTGCCAAAAGAATATCCGCTTCCGGAAACAACTGGCTGGACCGTCTGTCAGCCCCTCCTGCGCACCTGACTTTGTTCGCTCACACAGAGGTCGCGATGCTTTTCATTTACCTCTTCGGGTGACACATCTTGTTCTTCTGCTTGAAGGTACAGCTCTTGAAGTTTTTCTTTTAGCAGTTCCATCTCGATTTCATTTACTTGGTTGGCACTCAGGTAAGTTTGCGTGTCACACTCACACCCATCTGGTTGATCTTCCACGGGAACGTAGACAGCCCAGTCGGATGTCAACAGCTGTGGGATGACCACACAAACACATGAACTGGTTTAAAAAAAGGAGACTCCATGGGATTACTCAAACAACTTCCGGTTCGACATTATCGACTGCATCCACTTTCATAACACACAGGGACTGCAGCAGTTTCTCAGTCCAGCGGAACTCCAGATTTCAGATCAGCACTCTGTCTTCTGCTTACAGTTGAAAATTCAGCTCAAGGCTAATACACCTCAAATCCTACGTGGGAGACCGCAGTTGTCGTTTTGCTCAGTTCTGTAAGCCTAAGCTGTTAACTGCGATTTTTACCTGTTCTAGTCTGGAGTGCGCCGCCACAATCTCCGGGATGTTCTTGAATTCACTCAGAAAATTTTGGATCTTCACCTGAAAATCTCGAAGCCACGTGGAAGACACTTTCATCTCTGAAGAGTGCATGATTTCGTTACGACACTTAATCACCTACAGAAAGATAAAGAGACACAAGGCTACAAAGGCAAACAATGGGGGGCTGGCTCTGTGGTGTAGTGGGTAAAGCCGCTGCCTACAGTGCTGGCATCCCATATGGGTGCTGGTTCTAGTCCCGGCTGCTCCTCTTCCAATCCAGCTCTCTGCTATGGCCTGGGAAAGCAGTAGAAGATGGCCCAAGTCCTTGGGCCCCTGCACCTGTGTGGGAGACCCAGAAAAAGCTCTTGGCTCCTGGCTTCGGATCAGCCCAGCTCTGGCCGTTGTGGCCAATTAGGGAGTAAAACAGTGGATGGAAGACCTCTTTCTCTCTCTGCCTCTCCTCTCTGTGTAACTCTGACTTTCAAATAAATGAATAAATCTTAAAAAAGAAAAAAAGGCAAACTGTGATAACTGAGATCTTGTGGTTCCACAGAAAAATTGAAGGAAGACTTTATTAGTTACAGAATCAACTAGTGTGCTCCACACATAAGAAGAGCTAGAATTTTCCTGGGATCATGTGTTTAATAGGGCATATATTTCTATTGGGGTGGGGAATAGTCCAGGTCTCAAGTCAGATCCATATTTAATTTCATCCTGTCCAGAGTGCATAGGCCAAGAAGTAAGTCCTCCTTGGGTAACAAACTGAAAGGCCTTCAAGGATCAGACAGATCAGCTGAGTGAAGCTGGCCATGCACAACAGGAGGAAGGTTAGATGACACTGGGCCAGACAGGAGAGTGGATACACTACCCAGAGGGACAGTCTCTGTCCAACTTGTGGCTCGTTGCCATGGCAGCTACATGAACCCAGTGTTGCCAGATCTTCTGGTTTTTTAAGAGAAGCTAGAAATTCCGATGTTTGACAACTACTTAGAAACTTTTTAAAAAATCAGGTAGGACAAATAAAAATGACCCTAACACGGATTTTGGCCATAAGGACTCCAGGAACAAAACAAACTGGGCAAGGGTGCTTTGGCCTTTCCCCCTTCCTAAGTCAATATCCTAAGCCAATATCCAAGCAATCCAGAAGTTCTTGACATGACTTGTAGGTGCTCTCAAGGTTTGGGGGGATGTTCATCTATCTACCACTTGGGTAATAAATTAATCAGGGTAGGAAATACAAACATCCCTCCAACCATCCTCAGCCCTTGAAATTTTGTCACCAGCTAGAGATTAACAATCCCTTCAATCTTTTAACTTAAAACACCCTGCCACAGAGCAAGAGTACTGGACTTGGGTATGCCTGCAGGCTGATGTAGACAATGCAAACACCTTTTAAATATTACTAGAGAGTCAAGAAGTCAGGTCAAGGAGTTTTCTGACGAAACCATGGTGAAAATCAAAATTTGTCTAAATGTTAAGAAAAATGGAGCCATCTCATCATAAAATTAATATATAATTCACATAAAGTCTTCCACATTTTTTGTCTGAAAGATATCTAAGGGGTCGACTACTGTGATAGCTCTTTGTGTGACGTCATCAAGTATCCTCAATTCTTTCAGCTGCTTCCATGCTAGCCAAGTATAAGTGCATTTTCTCCATATTTTATAAATAATCCAATGACCCTCAGAGTAATAAATGTGCAAAAGTTGTTCTCCAGTCAACCAGAGAACAGCTAAATCTCTCTGAGGAAATCTGACAAGCACAGTGATCTATTTGTTATCCGTTAATGTTTTCTTTTTTAAAGATTTATTTATTTATAAGTCAGAGTTACAGAGAAAGAGGAGAGGCAGAGAGAAAGAGGTCTTTCATCCGATGGTTCCCTCCCCAATTGGCCGCAACGGCCGGAGCTGCGCGGATCCAAAGCCAGGAGACAGGAGCTTCTTGCAGGTCTCCCACATGGGTGCAGGGGCCCAAGGATGTGGGCCATCTTCTACTGCTTTCCCAGGCCATAGCAGAGAGCTGGATCAGAAGTGGAGCAGCCAGGACTAGAACCGGCACCCACATGGGATGCAGGCGCTTCAGGCCAGGGCGTTAACCCACTGCGCCACAGCGCCAGCCCCCCATTAATGTTTATGTATTCTTTAGTTCTATGTAGTTTGGTCTTGCAACTGCTCGCTCAATGAGACTCAGAAGGGCAGATTTCAAATGTTGGCATCCAAGACAGAATGATGCAGTGCTGTCTTTTTGTAATCTGGGGAATGACTCTGCTTCTGTTTGTGTCAGGATAGAGAAGAGCAAGTCGAGGTTCATCTACTTTAGTGGAGAAGAGCATGATAACAAGTTGTCATGAAACTTTCATTAAGGACAACTGAAGGCTCAGTCTCCTGACTGCACCTGCCCTGGGGATCTTGGACATCATGGAAGGCGCACGTGATACACAAGCCCCGCCAGCCTGCTTAGCGATACCAACTTGGAACCGCAGTCTAACTTTCTGGGCACCCTGCTGTTCTGGGGCACTCCTGGGCACTATGCCTGCATGGCTGGCTCAGCCTCAGAGGGTACGCCATCACGATACCGAGCCGACTGACTCACGGTGTGGCTTTGAACCTGACAACTCTTACCTCTGTGACTTTCTTTCGGTCAACCACAAAGTGATCGCAGGAGTTGATGAGGCTTAAAAGAGCGACCGCATCACATTCCTCAGGTGCTCTCTTGTCTGCCAGTCCTCGGGGCATGAAGGCCTGTAGGACAGGATGGTACAGGGGACACCTCAGTCGCCCCAACTCCAGGAACTGGAGGGGAGAAGTCTTCTCTATTTCCCACATTGTGGTGGAATGAGAAGGCCATGTCAAGGTGGCCACTGGCAAGCGAGTGTCAGTTACCCAGGGATGGCTTTGAAACCCACCTGGCAATGGAACCTGCCTGGCAACAGGCTGTGATTGGATGGATTTGAAACTGCCTGGCAACAGGCTGTGATTGGATGGCTTTGGAAACTGCCTGGCAACAGGCTGTGATTGGTTGGGGCATAGACCGCCCCTTGACCAGATTGGCTGGTCTTGGCTATATAAGATGTGGTTCCAAGTGTAATAAACGAGTCTGTGGGCTGCTCGCCTCAAGCCTGCTTTCACCCGACTCCTGGGGTCTGTGTGGGGACTCCGCGCCTCTTGCCCCCACCACGCTGCTCCTCTCAGAAACGCATCCACTGCAACATTGTTGAGAAATCAACTGCAACACCACATGATGACTGAAATTCCCTCACACACTGAGGTCCAGGAGGGAGCCGCCTGGGTCCACAGTGCAAGTGGGGAGATGGCCTCACGTCAATCCCAGCTGAGCCTCGGCTACAGGTGATAAGCGAGCGGCCGCGCCATCCCTCTGCATTGAGACACACCTGTCTGTGTTCCTGGGGAGAAGCAGAGAGCATGGGCGGAAGGCACCTTTTTTCTTCCCCTTCATGAAATTTCAGGGGTTGAGTTGCTAAAGTTTTAGAACTAGTACAGTGCAATTAGGTACTTCAACATGGACACTTCTAAACGACTTGAGGAAGTTCAGTGTGGTAGTATTAAGGAGGGTGACAGACCTGGGTTCAAATGCCAGCTTGGCCACCTGCCAGCCATGTGACTTGGGGCTACTTACTTAGCCTAAGATTCCTCATCAGTACGTGGGGGGCGTGGGGGGGGGGATAGTCCTCATGCACCTTGAAGAATGCTGTGAGAATTAAGCGGGTGAGTGCACTAGCACAGTGCCTGGCACACGGTAGCACACTGGTCTGAACGCTGGCGATTACCGTGGGGAGCAGGACCCACAAGGGGTTTTTAAAAAGCTTGGGGAGAACGTATATGATGAAAAAGCTATGTAAGGGTTTTAAAATTTTTTTTTTGCACCAAAATAAACTTATAATTCCATTCCCCTACAACTTTCTGAGGTACCAATGGAACCTCAGGACTTGAGATACCAGAGGTAGCAGAAGGGCCTTCTAGCGCCATCTTGCCTTCGGTTCGATTTGATGGCCCAGATCCCAAAGCCGGTGTGATAGCGAGGCTGGGGCATATCCTCTCCTGAGATATTTCCAAACGTACATTCAGAACCTCAAGGCACAAGAGCAGATGAGATGTGACAACTGCTCCCAGTGAGAACTCTAGAGACTTGTTCCATTGAAAACACACACACATTTCAGCAGGCAAGCAACTACAGCGCCTTCTACAGCGTGCTCTGGAGGGTAATCCGAAAATGCTGCTGGGAGGAGCTCACGTGCCCCAAGAAGCATCAGGCCCACATTCACACAGGAAGAATTCTGTACACACGGCACAGTCCCTAGCAGAAGGTACAACAGCATCACTATCCTGGGATGCAGGGACTTCATTAAGTTCATGGAAAAATGGAATTGAAAGATAAGTTTATTTCAGTTCAAAACTTTTTTTTTTTTGCAATCCATGCATTTTTTTTCATAATATGCATTTTTCCATGAACTTGCTGAAGACATGCACAGGTCTTAATTATCACTGCCACACTGCCACACCAACCCTCTGACTGAGCCTATCACGGGGCAGAGGTTGGGCGCAGCAGTTACAATGCCACTTCGACCACCAGCATCCCATATGGGAGTCCCTTGGGTTAAGTCCCAGCTCTGCTTCTGATCTAGCTTTCTGCTATTGCACACTCTGGAAAGCAGCAGGTGACAGCTCAGGGACTTGGGTCCCTGCCATCTACATGGGAGACCCAGATGGAATTCCAGGCTCCTGGTTTCATCTTGGCCCAGCCCAGGTTGTTGTGGGCATTTGGGGAGTAAACCAGCAGACGAAAGATGCTCTCAGTGTGTGGGTGTGTGTTTCAAATAAATAAAAAACTAATTTTTAAGAAGCCTTTAATGTATGCCCAAAGGTTTACAATGACGCTAACTTGCCACAGGCAAACTAATCCAATGAGAGTGAAGAAAAGAACCTTTGCTTATGTCAGCTGTTGCTGAGAAGAAAACACCAATTTAGAGGGGCCTCGGATGCCTCCAAACCAGGCATGATCTTTCTTCTCCATGCTAAGTCCTGCCTGGCATTTTCTTACCAATATAAACTGCTCTCTTGCACATGAAGGTTGTACTTTAGCAATTATTCTCCTTCTTCATCATTAAAAGCCAATGGGGGGGGGCGGGGGGAGGCTTTGATGCCTCCTGGCCACAAAAGCAGTTTCTGAAGATTGTACGGTGTGTGCCCATGCTCCATAAGGCCTATGCACAGGGTGAGGAATGGGCACTGTCACCTCCTTCCGCCCTCTGTGGACCCTTGCTTGAGCAGGAGATACAGCAGGAGAAATAAACAGAGTCCACATTGTCCTGCACCTTACTGGCTCTGGAAAGCAGCAGGGAGCTGCAGCTGGGTGGCATCCAGGGGTTTTAGGCAAGGGACTGAGAGGACGGAAGTGCCACCTGCAGGTGGCACATCCCGCCTAGTGGAGAACAGAGCACAGGTGCACAGAGCAGCACAGGCCGCCAGGGGGGGGGGGGGGGGGGCTGCAGTCAAGGGCCAGGCAGGAGACGGTGAGAGCTGAGATGTGGAGACGGACAGGAAGGTGGAGAAAACAGTCAGCAGAAACAAACGAGCGGCAATGAGAGGCAAAGAAGGAAACAATACCGATTCCAGGAGGCTGCCGGGGGGGGGGGAATGGGCATAGGGCGGGGCCAAGAGGAAAAGTCCCACTTCTGAACTAAATACCAAAGTGCCTGGCAGGTGGCCAGGTGGAGGGGTCAGCTAGGCAGTTGGACGTGTGCAGCTGGAGCTCAGAAGAGCAGGCAGGCTTAAGGGTGTCAAATGTGGGGAGCCACCAGTATAAAGGCAACAGAAGGGGACTTCAAAAAGTTCATGGAGTGGTGCCAGTGCTGTGGCACAGCAGGCTCCACTTCCGAGCCAGCTCCCTGCTAATGCTCCTGGGAAAGCAGCAGAGGACTGCCCAAGTGCTTGGGCCCCTGCACCCATGTGGGAAACCTGGATGGAGCTCCAGCTTGGCCCAGCTCCAGCCGCTGCAGCCATTTGGGGAGTGAACTAGCTGATGGAAGATCTGTATCTCTCCTTCTCTCTCTGTAACTCTGCCTTTCAAATAAATAAATCTTAAAAGAGGGTGGGGATTAAAAGATTACTTTGGTGTTAAAAATTTTTTAAATCCATGCATAATTTTTTCATAGTACATATTTTACACAATCCTTTTTGAAGACTCTGCATATAATTTTAAGATTTTTTTTTGCACAAAAATAAACTGGCCTTTTAATTTCATTTCTACAAACTTTTTGAAGTCCTGGTGTACTTAACGCCACAGGTCTGGGTGCTGTCGCCAGAGAAGACGGAGGCAGAAGGGGCTCATCCTTGAGTCCTGAGGAAGGCCGAGGAGGAGGGGCCAGGGAGGTAGGCAGAAGCCAAGAGTGGTTCAACAAGAAGAGCGCTCAGCAGTGCTAGAAAGGTGAGGCTCGAGAATTGAAGACCACAGACGTAGTACGGTGGCAGGGGCCAAAGGCAGGGTGGAATGGATTGCAGAGTAAGTGGGAGGTGAAGAGAACAGGCATCAAGGGCAGGTGTTCTGTGCGGCAGCTAAGATGCTGCCTGGGATGCCTGCATCCCATACTGGAGAGCCCACTACCAGACCAGAATCCTCTGCTTCTGATCCAGCTTCCTCCTAATCAAATCTTGGCAGGCAACAGATGATAGCTGGAGTACTTGGGTCCCTGTCACCCATGTGAGAGACCTGAATTGAATTCCTGGCTCCTGGCTTTGGCCTGGCCCAGTCCTGGCTGTTGTGGGCACTTGGGGAGTGAACCAGTGGATGGAAGGTCTCTCTGCCTCTCAAATAAAATGAAAATAAAATTTAAAAAGTAAAAACGAAGTGACAGGTGTTGTGGTGCAGTGGGTTAAGCCACTGCTTGGGCCGCCCACATCCCATACCAGAGGGCAGGTTTAAGCCCAGCTACTTTGCTTCCAATCTTGCTCTCTTCCAATTCGTCTGGGAAGCAACAGATGATAGTTCAAGTACTTGAGTCCTTGCCATCCATGTGGGAGACCCAGAGGGAGTTCCTGGATTCGGCCTGGCCCAGCTCCAGCTATTGCAGGCATTTGGGAAGTGAACTAGCAAACAGAAGATATCTATATCAATCCAGCTATCTCTTTCTCCCTGTCACTCTACCTTTCAAATAAATAAATCTTTTTACATATCAGCCCCTACTGGGCCAGGCCAAATCCAGGAGCCAGAAACTCCATCTGGGTCTCCCATGTGGGTGGCAGGGGCCCAAGCACTTGGGCCACCTTCTGCTGCCTTGCCAGGATCATCAGCAGGGAGCTGGACTGGAAGTGGAAGTGGGACTGTAAGCCAGCTACTCTGATATGGGATGCCAGTGTTCCAAGCAGCAGCTTAACCTGCTGCTCCACAATGCCCATCCCACATCTGTTTTTTTTTTAATTTTTTTATTTATTTTTTGACAAGCAGAGTGGACAGTGAAAGAGAGAGACAGAGAGAAAGGTCTTCCTTTTGCCGTTGGTTCACCCTCCAATGGCCGCTGCAGCCGGCGCGCTGCGGCCAGCGCACTGCGCTGATCCGATGGCAGGAGCCAGGTACTTCTCCTGGTCTCCCATGGGATGCAGGGCCCAAGCACCTGGGCCATCCTCCACTGCACTCCCTGGCCACAGCAGAGAGCTGGCCTGGAAGAGGGGCAACCGGGACAGAATCCGGCGCCCCGACCGGGACTAAAACCCGGTGTGGCGGCGCTGCAAGGCGGAGGATTAGCCTAGTGAGCCGCAGCGCCGGCCACATCTGGTTTTTGAGCTCCACTGGGTATGTGTATGGGAGGTCTGCAGAGAAATAGAAACAGATCAATGGTCTTTTTTCATATAAAACATCTATTTTCTAAGTATTTATTCAAGTGATTTTTAAAAATAGCTTTACTGGGGCCTCCGTCTGTGGTGCTGGCATCCCAGATGGGCACCAGTTCGTGTCCTGGCTACTCCTCTTTCAATTCAGCTTCCTGCTAATGGCCTGGGAAAGTAGTGGAAGATGGCTCAAATGCTTGGGCCTCTGCACCTGCATGGGAGACCCAGAAGAAGCTCCTGGCTTCTGGCTTCGGATCAGCCCAGCTCCAGCCATTGTGGCCATTTGGGGAGTGAACCAAGGATAGAACCAAAGGATAGAAGACCTTTCTCTCTGTCTCTCTCTGTCAGTAGCTCTACCTCTCAAATACATGAAATCGTAAAAGAAATAGCTTTATTGAAATATATATAATTCATATACAACTGACCCAATTCAGTGGGTCTTAGTAATTTCAAAGTTGTGCAACCATCACCATAGTCCATTTTAGAGCATTTTCATGACCCCAGAAAGAAACTCACCTATCACCTCCTTACCCCCTAAGCCATGGAAGTCACTAATCTCTTTCCGTCTCTATAGGTGTGCCTATTCTGGACATTCCATATGAATCAAATCCTATGATCTGTGGCTGGCTTCTTTCACGTGGCACGGTGCTTTTTTTATTTTTAAGATGTATTTATTTATCTGAAAGTCAGAGTTACACAGAGAGAGAAGGAGAGGCAGACAGAAAGGTCTTCCATCCACTGGTTCACTCCCCAGTCGGCCTCAACTGCGCCGATCAGGAGCCAGGAGCTTCCTTTGGGTCTCCCATGCAGGTGCAGGGGCCCAAGGCCTTGGGCCATCTTCTGCTTTCCCAGGCCATAGCAGAGAGCTGGATAGGAAGTGGAACAGCCAGGTCTCGAACTGGCATCCATATGGGATGCCAGCACTGCAGGCGGCGGCTTTACCCACTACGCCACAGCACCAGCCCCTTGGCATGGTATTTTCAGGATTCATCCATGCTGTAACATGTACTGGCACTTCCTTCCTTTTCTGGTAAAATAACGTTCTGTTGTGTAGAGATGTATCACATTTTGTTCATCTGCATTAGCTGGTAGACATTTGTGTTGTTTCCACCTTTTCGCTACAGTGAGTCCTTGTTTCTCTTGTATATATACCTGGGAGGGGAGTGGCTGGCTCATACAGTAACTGTTTCCTCTTTGTCTTTTAAAATCTTAAGTAAATGAGACTGTACTAAAGCCAACTGCTGATGACAGGAATAAGTGGGAGGGGCCAACTGGAGACACAAAGTCCCTGGGCGAGTGGGAGCGGGAAACAGCAAGTGCACAGCCGCGCCCTTTGTAAAACAAAGTTGGCCATTTCATTTACTGGAGAGACAGACTTCCCATCTGCTGGTTCAATCCAGGTGTCAGCACTGCTGAAGCCATCAGTGCTGCCTCCCAGGGTCTGCATTAGGAAGCAGAGGTTGGAAGTGAAGCCAGGACTGCACTGTGGGAAGTGGCTGTCTTAACAGCCAGGCCCAAACCACGCCCCTCCTCGCCCTCCTTGCCCTCCTCCTCTGTAGCAGAAGAGAGACCATGGAGCCCACAGAGGCAGGTTGGCAGGTCTGGCCAACCGATGAAGAAGTACGTGTTTGGGGGCATCTGTCAATTCCAGGAAGCACGAGCAATGGTAGCAGGCGTGACGGGGGAGGGTGGGCATGGGGGCTTGGCAAGGAAAGGTAGAAACAGCTCCAGGAGTAGGAGGAGCCTGTGCAGATAGGTGGCCGACTGCTGTGATCAAGAATGAAAGTGAAAGCAGCCAGCTCTCTTGTGACAACGTTCCCCTGGCAGAGGTCGATGATGGTGTTGCCAGGGCTGGAGCTGGGCCAGGCCAGGTCACAGAAAGCAGAAAAACAGGCTAAGGCAGCTGCATGGGATTGACTCTAAAGATGGACAGTGGAGACTAGGCTGGCCGTGGAGAAAGGAGTGGAAACCTCAAAGAGGTGTAAGCTGTACAGGAACAAGGGGTCTGGGTGCGGATGGCCAAGTGCAGTGTGCCAGAGGCGAGCAAGACGCCAGACACTGCAACTTCCTGTGTGCAAAAGGTCCAGGATGTGAGCACGCAAGAGGGAGCCTGTAGAACAGGGAGTCAAGAAACTGACAGGGTGGCGTTGCTGCGGTAACACAGCTACACGGGCTGCACTAGGAGGTCTGCAGGGGACCAGCCACAAAGAGGGGGAAAGCATAGCAGAAGCAGGTGGGCCGGGGGCGGGGTTTGCGGGAATTCTGAAGGAGTGAAAGCAGCAGGGGGCACAGGTGAGGGGCGGGCACGGTGAGGGACACAACTCGGCTTCTTTCTCCTTTTGGCGTGAAAGTAGAAGTTGGCCACTCTGTGGTGGCAATGAAATACACACAATGAAATGGGGAACAAGGTGGAGGAGTGGTGGGCTTACTGGTCCAAGGCTGGGGGCCACGGGTGCAGTCCAGCGCCATCAGTGTTGAAGTTAGGGAACAGAGGCTGGCTCAGTGACCCGCTGTAGCAGCTGAGATGGGGCTCGGGTCCCTTGCCTCACTTCCCAGGTGCTGACCTCTGCCTGCTGTTAACTAGCATGTAGATCGACTCCAAAAGTTATTTTGTGGTAGGAAGCCACTTCGGACTGCCCCCTCTCCACTCCCTACCAGGCTTCTGGCAAACATCAAAAAGGAAAAAAAAAATCCCTATAGCTGAGCTACTGAGTCACACTGGCAAGATCTGAGATGGGCCTAGCGGTCTCTTTTTAATTTTTAAAAAATTAATATAAAAACTAGTAAGTCTCTTTATAGCCCATCTCCGTCTCCCTGTCTTCCTCCCTCCCTCCCTCCATCTGTTTACGAGGTCCAGGTGCCAGGTGATCCGCTGCCTCCTCCTTCTGCCCCAGCAACAGGTGCTTACCTTGGCCACCTCCCAGGCGTCGACGGGCCAGCGGCCTGGCCGGCAGTTTCCCCAATGCACGTCTCCATTCCGGTTGACGTGATGTTTCAAAATCTCCCGTTTCCACTCTGAGCACACCTGACACTGAGGCTGAAACTACAGGGGGTGGCACATGGGAATCTGGGCCCCGCCCCGCGGAGGGAACGGGATACGGTAGGGGGATGAGGTCGGGAGGGGTGGCCAGGGACCCAGGCCAGGTACTCACCTGGCGGGCGCGCGGGGTGCACCGGGAGCCGCCGCGGCAAGTGGCGCGAGGGCCCAGGCTAGGGGCTGCGGCGAGGAGGCCGCGATGGAAGGAGAGCACTTCCTGGCCGACGAAACCCTGCAGGCAGCTGCGCAGCAGCAGCAGGCAGTGGCCAGCCTTCACCCAGTTCTTGTACTCGGCACAGTTGAGGCGCGCGGCCAGCTCGGACGGCACCATGGCCCCCACGGGCCTGGGGCGGGGTGGACGGCAGTGCGCAGGCGCGGGAGCCTGGGAACCGTCTGAGGCGCAGGCGCAGATCCGCCCAGAAACCGCCGTCACGGAGCAGGAGTGGCTACGGCGCAGCGCTTTGCGTCAGACTCCAGGGGCGGGGCGTTTTGACTTCCGGGGCACGGCAGGCCTGCGCCACGGAGCTAACGGCTAACGTTTTAAGTATTCTGAGCTAAGTGCCGCTTTAGCGCAGTAGGCAGCGCGTCAGTCTCATAATCAAGGTCCTGAGTTAAGTATTCCAAGGGAGCCGCTACTTGAAACCCGTAAGCCCTCTGCCCCCCAAACGGAGACTCCACCAATCCCCATTTAGACTCCCTCTGTTATTGTAGAGATGTAGAAAGTGCTGAAGGCACGTTTCTTTCATTACATGTTCCTTGCGTCACGCAATTCTGGAAAGTTAACTGCTTTAGGACCCTTAGTGGTATGGTTATTACTGCCGCTTGCACAAGGCTGTGTAAGTTCCAAATAAGAAGAGCCAGAGGTCAGAAAGCAGTGGATTGTGAACTCCCAAGTGCCAAGCAGCCAAGTCAGCTTGAGGTTTTGGAGCCTGGAAAACATGTCGAACTTGTGTGTAGTCCAAAGGCTCTGAAGGTGACCTTGGGGCAGGGCTTTACTGGGTAAGATGCCTATGCCCCACATCGGAGTAGCTGGTTTCAATGCTGGGCACTGGCTCTGGCCTCCAGCTTCTGGCCAGTGCAGACCCTTGGAGGCAGGGGTGATGGCTCAAGTAACTGGGTTCCTACCACCCACATGGGAGACCTCGAGGTCGGCCTTGGCAACTGCAGGCATTTAGAGAAGCAGCAGATGGGAGCTCTCTCAACTAAACATTTTTTTTTTTTTTTAAGCCAACACATTGAAGCCTTCCCCCTGATGGCACTGTGTTTAGCACTGGCTCTGGACAGAAACTGCCCCTTCTTAGTGGTTCCACCTTAAGCAGTCTTAACTTGATTTTAAGCAAGTTATTTTCTCTGGGCCTCTGTTTATCTTCTGTTAAAAGGAGGACATTGATACCTCATAGGGTGGTTGTCAGGATTAAATACACATTGAAATAACTCATAGAGCAGTGCCTGGCACACAGTAAGCTCTTGGTAAAAAATAAATTTTGTATTGACCTAAATATGCCCTTTCATTAATCATATCCTTGACATGTATTTTAAGAAACCACTGGCCATTTGGAAGTAGGGGCAATCGATCGGAAGTTGTGCGACCACGGTGCTCCTAGGGCTGGGCAGGACAGTGCTGGATGCTCTCTGCTAACTTTACATGAGTACTGATTCCGTCCTAAGTAAATTCAGATCATACCCGTAGACATATTGTCCATTCCCATCAAGCCAAGGCAAAAGTCAATTCCAAAACAAATACTGAAATCTACACTAACATTTTTCCTTCCTGTCTCTTGAATGTAAGTTCCCTCAAAAATCTCTGTAAAGTGGTTTTATATCAACAACACTTGGATGACAAATAATAAAAGTAAAATTTAACAGGTATTTCTTTGGGGGGGGGGCATGAAAGAAGGGCATGACTTTTTATGTTGACATTGGATAAGGAATCCGAATAGCAAAGTTACGCTTCTTGAAGTTAAATTAACCACAGTCCGCAGAAGGACTTGGTTTTCTGTGGCTCAACAGGTTACTAAGGCTTCGCAACACAGTAAAGTTATTAGTGCTATTTAAATTCAAAATCATGTGTGCTTTAGTTTACCCTTACACTTAGCTCACTCAGAGTTAATTTGCAAATGTGAAGTTCAGCTCCTATTATTAATAACGTGCTGTGTTCTGTTGAAATTTACTTTCCTCCTTACTAATTCTAAACGTCTTTCTATACATGCTGAAATGGCATTTCAGTGGATGATGAAAAGGAGGTGGCAAATCAGGCCCATTTTTTTCTTTCAAGGTTACACTAATACTAAAACCAGACTACAATCCAGAACTAATTCACCAAAATTAACTAGAGAGAGTTGGTAGTTCTCTGAAACTTGTACAAATTTTATTCATCATTGTAAATACTAAAATCACATTGAAAACATCTTAAAGTCAAGTCCCAAACCATCTACAAGGGAAAAAAAATCACTATGGGTATCCAGTCCCTTTGATTGAACCTGAGTAACAAAAGAGGCAAAAGACATGGTTTGTGATGAAACTTAGGACTCAAACGCTAAATGTTTTCAAGCTTTAATTCCAAGTACCAAGCATGATATAAAATTCAATTTCAGGAGTTTATAATAAGCATTGAAAGCAAACTGTGTTCAATAATTCCTATCTCAGTTTGGAGTTGCACAATGCATTCCGAGGAGAGTCATACTCAGGAAAAAGTGTCCACTGAATGCAGCATGTACAAAACTGCAATTAACATTTCAAAATCACACTCAAAAGGGAAAATACCCGAAAAGTTAACTCTATTAATAAAATTATTTGAAACAATATTATCCTGCAGATAAAAATACATTTCTTGTATATACATGTAGATTTCTACATGAAAGAAAGGATTCAGCTCCAAATAAAAAGGGGCTGACCCTTGATAAAGACATCTTAGATTGCCAAACTGATGTGATTACCGTTGTAAGGAGAACTGCAAACAGAAGGATAAAAAAGGCAGCATAAAGGAAGGATAAAAGTTTAGTCACCTGCTCCTAAATAGTGCAGAGTTGGGTGAGAAGCAGCAGATGAAAGCAGAAATAAGACACAGAAGAAAGGCAAAGAAGGCCTCAACTCTGACCAGAATTGAATGGAGAACCAAGCGAACAGATATGATATAGTTGTAGTGAGATGCTTGAAACTAGAATTTGGTAGTGGATAGTTATAGAAGCTCAATTAAATCATGTTAAAGTGGAATTAGACAAAGCATCCAAAATTTAATGGAGAACTATTATTACAGAGACCAGATAATTCAGCACGGTATAATTATTTTGAAAACTTTTCCAACAGCATCAAGTCACCGGAAGACCTTCACTTCAGATCATGTTCTTTGAAGCTTAAAAAGTCCCCGACTGACGGGGACAGACAGCACAGTGCTCCAAAAGAAACCTTGCTGAGATGTGTCGGTACCAGAAACTTCATTTGACCCTGGACCGGCCCTGGATCTTGATTCTTAAAACTCCAAGAACTGGACCTGTTTTCTTCCAAGCAAAAAATTCTATTATTTTGTTGACAATGAATTAAACGGAAATTGTTTAGCACAACCCCAACTTGGGTGAGGAAGGCAAGAAGTTAAGTAAGATAAAGAAACATCACAGACACTTCATGCAAGGGTAGAGCATTAAAGTTCTTTGTTTCCTAATTAATGCTACATGCAGAAGTATCCTGTAAACTGAATTTGCCCAGCAAAAAAGTTCTCATATCCTCAACAGATGAGAATGATTGCATTATCTGGGATCCTTGACCAGTATGAACCACTTACTGTCTCTTATTAAAGACTAGGTTCTTTTTTTTATTAATCCATAATCCTATACTGAAAGAAAAGTGAGGTACTAAATGTTAACCACCAATCAAATTAGGAACGTTTGAATAAATTAACCTTAAAACAAAGATGTTTTTGGTCAAATTTCAGACATGTATTATTAGAAATAAAATTACTGGCCCCACTAGGTTAAAAGGAACAGAGGCCCTAAAAGGCTATAGAGCTTGTATACACACACAAGTGAGTGTCACTTTTTGTTTTTAACCTAGTTTTATTAAATATTGCTTTTTTGGGATGTGTTTATAACAACTCCCAAAACATTTTCATGTAAGGATTCAAAGCGGTCATATTAAAATACAGCTTCAATATAAAGTTTATCACAGTTTTACAGTATTCAAAAATGACAGACCTGCCTTAAAAAACAAAACAAAAACCAAAAAAAGGACTATTACACCCAAAACATAAGAAAACAATTAAATAAACAAGTTTGGCATTTTCATAACTTTATAGTATAAAACAGAATATTAAATCTATTACTGGCAAGCGGACACTGACGTAATACCTAGTTTGAAATTGTGTCCCATTTGAACACACTATACAAGTTCATTATACAAAAGATTGATGGTCTTTTTGATGAAAGAAGTGCACCCTGAAAATTTTTGCCAGTTTAGAATATTTAGCTCTTAAAGTCAAAAAAAAAAAAAAAAGTCCTTTTTCTTTTTAAACTGAAGGCTGAATTCAGATTTGTGTGTGTGTTGTTTTGTCTCATCTGTCAGCCTTCCTGGTTTAAAAACAATAGTGTCTATGGACGCCCACCAGGGGGCAGTGTAAGATTAGCCATTAAATCACGAACAGCTGCAAATATTGTGCATTCACCTGCAACAGAGAAAAATGGTCATTAGCTATTCGCAATACAGGAAAGATGTTAACACACTGGTGGGGGAAGAGGGAATTAAATCGGAGATTAGTAAGAACTTTAAAGGTCAAAATAAAACACTAAATTTTAGCTGCCTATATTACAGAAGATTAAGCTGTGGTTTTATAAGATTATATTTGGTTTCAGTTTTGTTTTTTCCTCAGAAGGAATTTTTGGGTAAGTCCCACTTAGGTTTGAATTTAAGACAATATATGCCTCGAGTTCTATAGAAATACTTTGGCATTGGATAAGCCTTTAAAGTTGGGCTTTATGGCTACAGGACTGACTGCCTATGTATTTTGGATCTAATAAAAAATCTAGTGTATATTTATGATTTAGTTACAATGTTGGTGGTATCCTTCCAATATTGCATTAAAAGCTAGATAAAAATGTCCATGACAGCGTTATTCAATAAAACTTCCTGTGATGATGGAACTGTTGTATATCAAACACTTGTAATGCCACCAGTGTGACCAAGAAATTGAATTTAAAATTCTATTCAACTTTAATTAGGTAGCCCCCTCTGGCTAATAGCAGTTATACTGAACACTGCAGGCCTATGACATCTATTGGAGTTCTTTCCAAAGAATTTTAAGGAAATGGTCAACTTCTGGGGCTCAACATTAAAATCAAGGAATAAAAAAAAAAAAAGTGGTTTCTTTAAAAAGCACTTCATGGA